CTGTCTTCATTTCATGTACTTGTCAATACTGGAGTGTCTGTGCGAAGAAACCGTGAAAGGAGCAAGAAAAGGAAGAAAAATGCGTAAAAAGCATGTTTCTGGTGCGTGGCATTCGCCATGCACCTCAGCCACGTCGCCACTCAACTTAAACTCATGGCGTTTTCCATGAGTCTAATGGTGGTCGCCATGGCTGCGCAGTAACAGAATTTAGAAAAAACTCTCTGATCTATTCTTCCCACTTCCTAACATTTTCTCCATGACTTTTACACGAATTTGGAGACTGTTACAACACCAGACCTCCATATAAGACTAAATTTAAGTTCATGTACGCGGAAGCTCTGGCATTTTAGTTTTTAAGCACATATTTACTTTCGAAGTGATAATCACTCGCATTGAGGGATTATCACAATTTTAGTTTTAAGTTTCTTGTACTCTTGGATCACAATCCTACCATCATTGTAGAAGTTTATTTCAATTTCGTTTGTGCACTCAAAGTGTTCCCGCATTTAATTCAGGTTTTCAGGTTTTTATAATATTTCCTATTTTTCTATTATCGTATCTTTTGTTTGATTATAATGTTGTATTTACTTCATACTATCATGCTTGATTTGCTTAAGTTTAAATCCATGTCTAGCTAAACATGTTTGAGTCTGGTATTTGAGAACCGTCGTTCTGACAGACTCAGTAATGAAATTAGCGTTGACTTTTCATAAATGATTTTTATGGCTTTAGTTTTCATTTCTAATTCAAACATTTTTGCACGAGAGAGAAGAACAATTAAGGTTCGAATTAATAGCGCGAGAGTGTGAGGGTCGAACCAAATAGTAGAAACTGGGCATTGATCCTAAATACAACGAGAGCGCTTTATGGATCAATTAGGATTTATTTACTTTTCAAAAAATTCTTCTTAATTGAAATGGCCGAGCAAGAGAAAAATCTCATGGTTAGGGAATGTAGGTTTAATCAATAGCGCGAGATTGTGAGATAGAGTTTTTAAATTGGTATTTTCTACTGAAAATATTTTAACATAAAACAAACGCCAGTGAATTACAAAGTCCCTGAGGTGCACAGAATCCACATTCTAGCCTCTCTTTCTTGATATTTTTCTAAATCCTATTTTAATTCTGGTTATTCATTTTCGTCATAACTTAGTAATCATTACCCTTTGCTATACACAGTTCCAATAGATAACAATAGATTGATTATTAGTCTTTGTGGGTTCGATATCTTTTAAAACTACGCGATAGACTGTATACTTGTAGTTAGATAATCCAATAGGTTCATAAATCGCGATCACCATTCTCAAATCAATGATATTGAAATGCAAATCATCTATGTTGTTAAGAAAAAATTACAAGTGAATTGACTTATCTTATCATGCATCAAATGACTCACCAAAAGAAAATTTTCGGTGGTCTTCCTTATGCAATGTTGATTACTAAGATTTTACAAAATTTCAAATTAATTTTCATGGAGAATCTAGGTTCAAAATGAATGCCAATGAATATGAAATAAACATAGGGCAACAAACAAGAATATGAGACTTTTCAAAGATAAGGATGGTATCTTTAAACATAAAGAGGTTGCATCATCTACTCCAATGTCTGAAGGAGGTCTAACCAATCTAATGCTTTATGATAAACTTTTCCTAATTGAAAACTTTATCACTCTAGAGTTTTGTGAGATCTGTCTTGAAATATCCGACCTTAAATGCAACCAAAACTAAAAGGAAATTGAAGAAGATTCAGAGGAAGAAAGTGACCAAAGTGGCTAATATGTCTTAGTCTATGATTATGTTTCCTACTAGTTTCATGGTTATGTTTTGAATTTACTTAGTTTTTGCTTATGTTTTGTAATGATAAGACAAGCTATGCTTCTGATTTTATTATTATGTTTGACATATGGTTATGTATGGTTGTTTATCATGATATATTATTTCCTATAAACATCACTTTTTAATTCTTTTCCCTTCTTCTTGATAATGACAAAGAGGGAAAATAGTATTTTGTAGTTTACTAACCTATGTGGAAACAAAAAAGTCAATGAATTACAACATTGATTTATCAAGGGGGAGATATCTTAGTAAGCGGGAGTATGTTGCTCAAGTACCAAATTTAAATCATCTTAATAAGCAATAGTTGTCATCATCAGGAAAGGGGAGATTGTGAAGACAATCTTCAAACATTGTTTTATGTTTTGGTGAAGACAAGTATATCAATATCAAATGCATTATTAAATAAAGAAACAGTTCTAAGTTCAAGGGAAACTTTGGTTACAAGACTTGGATCACAAGCAATCTTCAAGATAACATTGGACTTTATTGGATTGATATAAAAAATAAGGTACATGTTACAATTAAACTTTGCATATTACCATAGTACTTAGAACAATCATGCATCTTTCTTCTCTAAGCATTTAAACACATTTTAAAACTTATTCATTTTAAATCATATGGTTACAAACTGAATTTTCATATTTTCAATCAGCTGTATCCGGTTACACAATTACCTTAACCGATTACAGGATTACAAAATTCAATATTTTTGGAAAAAGCTTAAACTATAACTGATTACCCAAACCTTGTGACCGGTTACAACCACGAAAGTTTTTAAAATTCTTTTTCAGCTTCAACTGTAACCGGTTATGATAAGGTGTTAACCGGCTACCACTAAAGCAGTGACACTTTTTCGTATTAAATTTGATTCCAACAATTTTCAAACTTTATCAATCAATCATGGCAATGATTCATGATATTATACTCTTTCCAAAATATATAGTTCAAGTATAAATAACTAATAATTCATATTTTTAAATTGCACCATTTTCATATAATTGAAATTCATATCTTTCTCAATTTTCATACAAGTGCCTTAGGTAAAAAAAACTTATCATTATAAGAAATTCTACACAAGAAACATCACAAGGGAAAAAGTAGGAGAAGAAACCTCAGCGAAGGAAAAAAATAACACTTTATAACTTCAAATAAAAAAATACGGGGGAAAATAAGCAAAGAAGATTTTATGGGTACTTCTAACTCAGTGAAATGTGATCTCTTACAACTAGGAGAAAAGAAAAACTACCAACAATCCAGATCTCCTCAAAGTTTGTCTCAAATACTTAAGTATCCTAGGTTGAGAGAGTTATCATTGATGATATATGATGGGACACACATCGAGGGTTCCTATGCAAAAAGACATATGGTACAAGAAATGCATTTCATGCGCAAGTTTCCAATGCTAGTGGTGTTCCATCACTACCCTTCACTTGACCCAAATCTTAGCTAATTATGAGGCATGCATGGCAAAATCCTTCCCTTTCAAGACAGAAAGAGATTGGTGCAATTGTTATGGGCCGCCTAAAAGGCCTAGTAAAAGATGCCTAATAGTGAGCGCTATTGGAGAGTAATCACAAGAAATGATAACCTTTATTTTCTTGAACACAGGTAATCCCAGTTTCTAGCTCATCACACACACCGTCTAGATCAATTGAATGATCCACGGCAGGACATGCCACATTTCACGCAAAGCGGTTATAACCTCATATGCTATATAATGACAATAATTTACCATTTTGCAGGTAATTTGAATCCATCTTCATTACTTATCGTTTCTCATTCTCTGAGTGAAATGAACATTAGAGTGTCAATCTTGCAGATACACCTCTGCATCTCCTTACGAGAAAGCTCAATCACACATATCAATCTCACATTTTTGTATCACTTACCGAACAAAAACAATAAGAAAAGAACTTCAGAATACAAGCAAAGTTTTAAACATATTAAATTAATTAAAAATATTGAAATTAACTTAAAAGTTCTTTTTAGTTTTTTACTGTTACGTGTTTATAAATATGTTTATTTTGATTTTAATTTTTACTTTTCGACATAGAATTATATTTATTTTAAAAAATTAAATTTAATATACTTAATTTAATATATTTAAAGTACAAATATACGAGAGGTCTTTTTAATTATTTTTTATAATATGTTGGTTCTTTAAATTTTTTTTTTTCAAATATTTTGATCTTTTAGGATGGTTTCTATATTCTTTTTTTTTTACATTTTGAACATTTAAAAATGTGTGAATATTATATTTCTTATTATACTTTATCATTTTCATACTTTTTTAAAATAATTGTATTTACAATGAGTACATTCACTCTAATTAAAAAAAATAAAAGCGGGGACACATTTGATAATTTAAATGATCAAGTTATTAAAAAAAATTTGAAAAATCAATCTATTAAAAAAAATTATGACCTCTGATATAATTTTTATGTATATTTAATATTTTAGTCTGTCTGGCTAAAGTACGGATGATCATTAGACGAAGATCTTGCATCTTAGAGCGAGGTGAAGGTGTGCTTTTGTCTGGTGCTGTGGATATAGGTCCACTTGTGCAGAAGCGCAACAAACACCTTGTGGATATCATAACAAATAACCAGATAAAATTCAAATCTAACTTTTTTTTTTATGCATCAAATCTAATATACTAAAGTAGGCAAGGTTCATGTTTTGCATGTAGCGTTGTTGTCACTCCTCGTGATTAGTAAAGGTAAAACATCAATGTTAGAAAAGCAAACGTAAGAAACAAGACAACACACTATAGATGCAAATTCACGGCAGTCCACTAGTTGAAAACTTGAAATTGTGTAACGACGACGGCATACGTTTGCAATGACATATTCCTACTGCTAGCTAGCAATTCATGTGGAGGATCAAATATCACTATACGACAACGACAACAGAAAAAGCAATGACGTTAAAAATATGTAATGTGCAAATTGTGTTATGTGGACTTGCTGAACCAAATACATAACGAGGAAACACTCAATCTTTTTGAAACAAGAGAAAAACTATAAATGAGTCAGTCAAACTTAACTGTATGAGACGATTTTCTTTCTTTGTTCCCCAAGCCTATACCAACTCTATATATATCCATCCTCTCCCCAACTTTCTTCTCACTTTTCATTAAATCATTCGTACTATTTTCTAACTAGGCATGGCATCAGGAGGGTATGGATATGCTGAATCATATGTGATGCAGAAGCTATACAAGGAAAAATTGAAGAAAATAGCACAGGCAGAAAATCTACAAGAGGAGAAGAAGATCCATACACTCAAAACAGGTTCTACGGATAAAACATCAACCGGTTGTTTCTCATTGTTTCCCAAGAAACAACATAAGAAAAGTTCTCATGTATCAGATTCTAACGACTCGTAATCTGAAATTATCAATTCCTTATTGAATTCAGTATTCATAAGGATGTATTATAATTTTCATTGCAAAAGATTGCCTAATTCTTCTATTTCTCCTTTCCAAATAGTAAATATTTGTAGTTTAGTTTGTTGAACTGTTGCCTTCTGTTGCTTATCAGCTTTGCAAGTTATTTTTCTGTTTCCTTCTTCCTTGTTTATGAGAAGTCGTCACTTGTCATTCTATTATCTTTGTGCCTGCAAAGATTTTCTAATTCATATCCAATACTGTTAAGGTATAATTAAAAACTTGTTCTTGTTTCTACCATCAATAATATGCACTCTAATTATCCTATGTCTACGATGCTCACATGTTCATCATCACTACAATATTTCTAATTATTTTAATTTGAATTAAGTATTTTTATTTTCCACAATTTATAGTTTCATGCAACTTATCTTGCACCGAACATCCTCAATCACTTCCCCTGAATTACTTTAGCAGATTGGTTTGTTTCCAACTCATTTTGTTACTAGGGAGCTCCACAAGCTCCTAAACACCATCGGCACCCACCACTACTCATTTTAAACACACATGTACCAAGCAATAAGAAAACACACCTCAAGATAACTTTAATTATAAAATTGTTTGAGATCTTATGTTCAGATAATGTTGCAAATACTTGGAAGCAAAGAAATTGTCATGACAATGGTTCTATAAAAACGAAAATATAAAATCACAATGAAATCTCCTACTTCAGCGATTTTTTTAATACTATCTGAGTTTCAACTCACATTCTTCATGAATATGAGATTATTCAAACACTCTTATAATCATTTGTAAGTATTTTTAATAAGAACGTGATATATTTCACACAAAAAAATCCACAACTTTGTCTCTCAAAGAATTATAGAGAGTTACATAGAACGAAGTTTAAGATAAGTAAATAACACTACAAGATTTGATGTTTAATCTCTTAAAATATGTGTATTCTCTTTTTATTTTGTTGATTCACGAAGGAACCCGATCCATTTATATAGAGACGTCAATTCATCTAAAAAGCCCATTAAAATACAGACCATTTATAAAATATTTAATCTTTACCAACATAAATATTTCTTCCATAATATATCTAACTTTTAACAAATTAAATGCGTATCTCTTAGCAAATTTCCACAAGATTTTTTTATAAACAAATCATGTAGTTTTTAAACGAAATAAGTCTTTCTGAAATTAATCACTCAATAATTGGAACACTTAATCCAGAATTGAAAGGAATCTCTCAAAATATAGCGCACAGGTAGACATCAGATCCAAGATGTCTCAACAAGTTTTGTGATATCTTACTTAACATTTTTCGATAAAAATAAGTCAATATAAAGGTTTTCTAGAATGCGAAACTTACCCATGGAGGCTCATATACCATCACCAAATATTGATGGATAATTGCCTCTCTGTCTTGACACAGGCCATGTTGCATATGTATGAATCCTTTATGAAAATCATGCATATTAAAGCGTTTAAACACTTTGTTTATGTATGTACTCTAACTTAGACCAAACAGATTTTGTGATCTATCTCTATAGATCCTGATTCCCAATATATAGACTGCTTCATCAAGGTTCTTCATAGAAAAGCATTTTCCTAACCAAGTTTTTACTTGTTGCAAGGTAGGAACATCGTTTTCAATGAGTAATATGACATCTACATATAATACTAGGAAGATGCCCATCCAGTCCATATTGTTTTATATTTTCATAAAAATAAAGATTCCAGCTTCTGAAAGCTTGCTTCAATCCATAGAGTGATTGTTGTAACTTGCATATCTTTTGGGCTTATTCTAGTAAGTCAAATCCTTTAGGTTGTGTCATGTACACATCCTTAAGAAGATTCTCATTAAGGAAAGTAATCTTGATATGCAACGATAGCAAGTAAAATCTGAATACATTTAAGCATTGTAACTGGTGAAAAGGTTTCATCATAGTCTACCCCATGAATTTGTTTATAACCTTTAGAAACTAGCCTTGCTTTATAGCTATGTACCTTACCATCCATGCTAGTCTTCTTTTTGAATAACCACTTGCATACTATAGGATTAATTCCTATAGAAGGCTCTACCAGGGTCCAAACCTGGTTTGTGTACATGAAATCCATTTCAGATTTCATGACTTCTAGCCACTTCTCAAACTCAGGACCAGTTATGGTCTCTTGGTAGGTTATAGGCTCATCTTGATCATTAGTAATACATCACCTTGATCAGTTACGAGATATCCATATCTCTCTAGTGGATGATGTATCCTACTCGGCCTACGTTGGTCTTGTTCTACTTAAGCAGGTTTCTCTTTCACAACTACTTGTGATTCCTGCTCTAATTCCTCCATAGGTGTATCAATACTTTGGGATTCTTGAATTTCTTTAAGCTCTGCTTTCCTCCCACTGATTATTTTGGAAATAAAGTCTTTTTTCAAAAAAACTTTAGTTTGAGTGACAAAGACTTTTCTCTCAGAAGGATTGTAGAAGTAATACCCTCTTGTTTCTTTATGATACCCCACAAATAAGCATTTGTCAGATTTGGACTCAAGCTTAGTTAAAATTTTTCGTTTCACATAAACTTCACAACCCTAAATATTCATGTAAGACATATGTGGTTTCTTACCACTCCATGTCTCATATGGTGTTTTCTCAATCTTTTTGGATGAAACACAATTAAGTGTGTAAGCTGCCGTCAGAGGTGCATGTCCCCAAAAGGAGTTTGAAAGATCGGCATAACTCATCATGAATCGGACCATATCTAAGAAGGTTCGATTTCTTCTCTTAGATACACCTTTCCATTGTAGTATTACAGGAGAAGTGAGTTGGGATAGAATCTCACACTCTTTTAGATGGTCATCAAATTCTAGGCTTAAATATTCACCTCTTCGATCTGATCGAAGAGTTTTAATATTCTTACCTAGTTGGTTTCGTACTTGATTCTTGAATTCCTTGAACTTTTCAAAACACTCAGGTTTGTGTTTCGTTAAATACATTTAACCATATCTACTGAAACCATCAGTAAATATGATGAAGAATTGAAAACCTCCTCCGGCTGGTATGTTCAGTGGTCCACATACATCAATATGTATAAGGGCCAAAATATCATTAGCCCTTTCACCTTTTCCTATGAATGGGGACTTTGTCATCTTTTCAATTAAACAAGATCTGTATGTCTCATATGATTCATAATTAAAAGAGTCGAAGAGTCCATATTTATGGAGTTTGGAAATGCGTTTCTCATTTATGTGGCCTAATCGACAATGCCAAAGGTAAGTTGGATTTAACTCATAAGGTTTCATCCTTTTAGTATTAATGTTATAAATAGGCATTTCAATATCAAGTACATATAGTTCATTGATCATTTATGCCACCACTAGGCTTCAAAGCACAAGTAGTGTGTTTGGGTTTGGCAACTTCCTTGTCGTTTCATTTACCACCCTACTTCGGAACTTTTTCACAAGAACCTTGTCTTCAAAACTTTAAGCACCCAGTCTTCAGAACCCTTGGTCTTTAGTAACTTAAGTCTTCAGAGTCTTCAGAACGTCGTTCAGCAGAACTTTGTCTTCAGAGTCTTCAACACTTAATCGTCAGAAACTCAAGTCTTCAGAGTCTTTGGAACTTTGTTCAGCAGAACCTTGTCTTCAGAACTTAGACTTTAGAGGACAATAACTTCAGAAGCTAGAAAGCCTTCAGAAGTAAAACATCAGAGGCATGCCCAGAGGCAGAAAGCAAGAGAACATTGCAGCAACAACATATTGTCTTCTCATAATCTTTCTGAATGTGAGCAGATCAGAAGCAGACTTGCTTCTTATAGAGCAAAAGCGTCTTTGGTCAGATCAGAGTGACGTTGCACATGGTCTCTATCAGAGTCAAAACCTGTTTGTTAAATCTTCAGAAAAATAAACGTTAGAGTACCAAAATTATTCTCACACAAATACTACTTTGTTATTATCAAAACTTAGAGATATCTGGCAGGACCAGATCTTATTCTAACAAATTTCTCTTGTTTTAACCAAAACTTTTAAAATGCAAACATAACATCTCTAAATAGTATGAATCAAGTGAAGGTTGCATGAATCCTTGCAAGACGAAACAAGTACCTTATTTCTTTGTCTTTATTTTCCATGAATATTTCAATGAAAGGTGCTTTTGTGAAACATTTTATGAGTTATAATGTTGTTGTTGTTCAAAATATTTGTCTTGTTTTTCTTGTTCAAAATATACGTGAAATGTTTGTCTTGGTCGATCATAGGGTTTATGGTTTTCTTGTTGGTAAGATGAGATTATAGTTTTTATATTGTTGTTTTTTAATAAATGATGTTTTTTATGTTAAAGTAAGTTATTATTTTTAATCAATGTTGCTGTTTTTTGTTGATAAATGTTGTTGTTTGTGTTGAAGTATGTTGATAAACTTTGAAGTATGTTGATAAATGTTGAAGTATGTTGATGAATGTTGAAGTATGTTGATGTTTTTGTTGATAAATATTGTTGTTTGTGTTATTGCTAATGTTATTCCTTGTAGATTACACTTTTCATTTCATTCCTCCAACATGTTCTAGAAGATGAGTTTATTATATCCTATGTGGTTTGAGTGTTTTACCAACCCTTCACTAAATGTATAACCTACAAATTGAATTAGAAAATAATAATATGAAAAATTAAGTTATATTAAAAAATAACTTACACTAATTAATGTTTTCTAAGGTTCATGTGGCCTATTATTTGTATCTTACTCTTTAATGGTTAGAATGTGATTTAACGCTTCTAGTTCTTCTGCTATCACTTCCTTCACTGCTAGTTTTGTTTACAAAGTAATTAATACTTTGAAGAATGAACTAGTAGAAAAGGGAGTGTTAGTTAAATAATTAGAAGCATTGAAACAAATTCTAACTGTTAAAGAGTAAAATACGGATAATGGGTTGTATAAAACTCATGCAACATTGATTATTATAATTTATTCTTCTAATATAACTTAAGTTGTCATAACATTGATT